ATGATTAATTATTAATATATCAATATTATTCATCCAAACCTAATTACGAAGCATGATTCTTCGCCAAATAGGATTCTGAAGCACCAGAAGCAGCTACGTAGGCTCAGCGCATTCGGGAATTATATATAGGGAGGATATCGAGGAAAGTGGAGTTGGTTTAAAATCGAGTCAGATTTTGAGAATAGATTGGAGTTTATTTATAAACAAACACACCCTAAACATAAAGAACCAATTTTTCTTATTTTATTTTATTTATTTATTATTATTTTTTTTTTTCGGGCCAAACCTGAATCTTGCAGCTCTCGAAGCTCTCCTTTGTCAAGAGCAACTGAGAAAGCAAGAGCATGAGACCACCATCCCTCACGATCCAATACAAATCTATCGTCCCATATTGCCTCTGGTACTCGTTTGGCCACTCGTCAAGCCCCTTGACTATAACAACTGCCTTGTTCGCAACAATACAGTCGTTGATTATCCCAACAAAAGTGGCGGGAATCTCGGTCAGATTCTCCCGGCGCCAGATTTCCGGGTAGCGCATGACAACGATGTTGGGCTTGAGATTGCCGAGGCCCATTGTCTGATCGATACCTCGGAAGCCATCGGACATTGTGGGGGCCACCACAATCTCGGCTACTCCTTCACACTGTTTGTACTCTATGTAGGTGCTGAGCGCTCGGCATGCTGACTTGGCTTCCTCTGCCATCTCGTGATAGTCACCATCGATGATCGACACAAATATGGACATCCCACGACCCTTCTTCTTCATGAAGTTGGCAAAATCGGCCAGTTTCGGGTGGCTGATGCGGATGAGGGCCGTCAGCTGAAGAACGCGTACAACCGGACTCGTCGAGCTAAAATGAAGCTGCAGAAAAATTCTGGACTTTCAGGGATTAGCGGCGCTAAGGACCTTAGCGCCGCTAAGGCTGCGGATATGAAGGGGACAGAGGGTTCACGCTAAGATGATTAGCGGCCGCTAATGACCCTTAGCGGCGCTAAGGACTCGGCGGGAGCAGTTTTTTATTTCAGTTTCTTTTCATTTCAAGTGTATTTGGGTAGTTAGTAGGTTTATTTGTATGCGTTTTTTAGACATTT